CATATTTTAGCTCTCATGGACTTGTTTTCATTTTGTTCAGCTTCAGTTTGAATTTGCATATGAGTAATTGATGGTCTGTTCCACAGTCTGCCCCTGGCCTAGTTTTGACTGATGATATGGAGCTTTCCTATCGCCCCTTTTCACAGATGTAGTCAATTTGATTTCTATGTATTCCATCTGGTGAGGTCCATGTGTATAATTGTCTCTTACGCTGTCTAAAGAAGGTATTTGAAATGAACAAATCACTGATTTTGCAGATTTCTATCATGTGTTCACCAGCATCATTTCTATCACGGTGTAGCATAGTACTTTATGAATTATCGAACCCAAATGAATCAAGAAGGCTGTGGGAGGAATGGTTGGTGCTGGAATTTTTACACCCCTGGTATTTGTTGTTGCTGTTGATAAGTGCCACTGAGTCAGTTCTGACTTATAACAACCCTGTATAGAATTTTCGAGGAGCGGATGGTGGGTTTAAACCCCTAACCTTGTGGTTAGCAGTCCAAGCTTACCCTACAGTGCACATCAGGACTCCTACTTCAAATCCTGACTGTGGCAAGAAACAGACCAATCCGACATTTTCCCAGTAATTCCAGGATTAGAGTTGAAATTGCATGACACCACTTGCAATAGTATATGTAAACTGTCATCAACAAACCTGCTATAGAATTGAGTATAATCATTCTATAACATCCCCTTTGCCAAAAGGTACAATGAAGATGAGGTAAAAATAATTAATGATAAAACACTCCCAAAAGCTCCAAGTAGTGCTCTTAAAGAGTTAATAAAGAAATATAAATTTTAAAAGCACTAAATTAAAAAGAGGGACGGCTTAATGGTTTATTAGTAATATAAAACAAACAACAGAGCTTGGTATCACTACTGGTGAAGTCAAGAAGCAATGTTAAAGATCACGTTTACCAAACAAAAGTTGTAATGAACAGACATATAGTTACACCCATCTTTTTTTAGTTCCTAAAGATTTTTATACACTGTAAAAAAATTTTGACTCTTTGTTTTGTTGGCTTTCAACAAATAAATATAACAAATAAATGCTACCACATACATTACAGGAGTCCTGGCGTGGTGCTGTGAGTTAATGGGCTGGACTGCAAAGTCAGGTTGAACCAAAAGGTCGGCAGTCAAGCTCACCAGCTGCTCCTCAGAAACCCTACTCAGGGTCGCTATGGGTCGGAACCGACTTGGCGGCACTTAGCAACAGGAGCAGGAGTCCTGGTGTGGTGTGGTAGGATAAGCACTAGAACTGAAAGCAGATTTGAACCACTAGGTAATCGTTCAAATCCCTAAGGCACTCCTCAGAAACCCTATAAAAGGCCACTATGAGTCAGAACCACCTCGACAGCACTTAACAACAACATACATTAAGAAGGGTGAGTGGTTCTGTAGGATAAGCACTGGACTGTGAACTACAAAGTTGGCTGTTCGAGTCTACCAGCCACTTTGAGGGAGAAAGATGAGACTTTCTGCTCTGCAAAGATTTACAGCCTTGGAAACCTTATACAGGGTTGCTAGGAGTTGGAACCAACTCAACAACACTTAACAACAACACACACATTAGGTTCTTAACAGCCAGAGAGCATTACATTCAAAACTAACATTACAAAATTTAGCCAGAAGCTGAAGAAATCTTTATAAATCCTTTTGTGTCTAGGCTAAAAGGAATTAAAACACATACATCCACTCATTTGGAGTTCTATACTTTTCTTAATAAGGCATGGAGGCTAGTGAGTTTAATATGTCTGTTGTGTTCAGCTCGTATAGCTACCTTGTAATTAATACAGTATTTGGTATAACAGTCTATTCTCTGCTGTGCTGTGTCTGAATTACCTCAGTTGCACAAAGGAAACTCGTTATGACTTCCTAATGAAGCATTATTTTGTTGACAAAGGGCGACCATACTACAAGCTGCTGGCAGCTGCAGAGGCTTGGTGGTAAAGGGCTGTAATTTAGCAAGTGTATTCCACTTGGCTTTCTTTCCTGGAGCCAGGGAGAGGCCCAGCGCCTTGTCTCAGAAATAAAGAGGGTCTATTGCACACTCATAGAAACCCCTGCTGGCCGATTCAAGACTAGATGGAGTGTACACCGGGAGAAATGAATGGCATGGGCCCTCCTATGAAGCGGACAATAACCAGGGCACAGCCACAAACACCTCAGTGACCAACTCTAATTAATGAGGAGGTGGCCAAGAAACCCAGGCACAAATCACAGGCATTAAGAACTGGGCAGGACTTAGACTCGCAGGATGAACTGAGTACTGCCACAGGGAAAGAGAGGTGAAAGGGACCTTCCTATCATTTGAAAGGGGGTAAATTTTCTGGATTGGGTTGTAAAACTTAAATTGTTGAACGAAAACAAAAGGGCCTAAGGCATTATGGCCAAAGGATCATGTCAAACAGCTGGCGTCCAGTGTGCTGTTGCTGCCTTACCTCTGCTCCAGGTAGGCCAGGGCCTGCCTGACAAACTCCATGCGAACCTCCACGCTGCTGCGACTCTTCAGGGCATCGGTTGCAGGCACCAACAGCACGTCTGTCATTTGTTTGACCAAGGCCCACATGTCCGAGATGTTCTGCATGGAAATGAGAACACACATAGCAATGATGCAAGGCTGGAAAAATGGTTTGGCTCTTTGGGGTAGCGGGATGTGGGGGTGAGGCCCCCTGCCCTGCCGAGAGCTAGAGTTCCATCTGCCAAAGAGCCACCCCCTCACTCCACTCCCAGCTGGTTTTTCAGATCAATTACTATTCCAGGTCTGACATAACCACCTACATAATTAAGACCACATAAAATAACCAGAACACTGAGTCTCAGTGGGTTATCCCTTAAGAGAGAGTGAATACATTTATAAGCTAGGAGCTGAAACTCGAGCAGCTGCATTGCAGTTCTTACAAGGGCATTTGAGTTCCTTAAGACTTAAAATAAGAATTCAGGCTAAATAATATAGGTTTGTCCTCCCCAAGCCTCTCCAGGGGCTACTGCTCTTACCCCATTTTGTGAATGTCACAGCCTCCCATTTCCCTCCCACTCACTGCCTCGGAGGACAGCCTCTCCAGAAAGGAACGGGCGTTCTCCTCTTTGTTGCCACCACACAGCTGGGACTCCCTCTCCCCAGAACCCGTGTTCCCTGGGCCCTTGGCAATATTCTACAGTTAACAATATGAGAGGGCTTCAAACGTTCATGGAGAAATTCCACTGTCTTTGAATTCCATTTTTCCATGAACTTTCTGATGCCCCCTCATAGTTGGAAGACAGCACCAGTTGGAGAAAAGCAGGCTTTTATACTTTTTCCACAGGAAAAGAGAAGATCATGGTTTTATTGTCTCTCTCAGAAATTAAAATTGCAGAATATCCAGTAAACGTGATTCCTTCCTGGTGGTAGGATAACTGGCAATCCTTACTTTCTTGTTCGGACCTATTTGTATTGTCTTATATTTTACTGTAGGAAGAAATGGATGGAGGCAGGGAGAGAAAAGGAGGGAGGGATGAAGGAAGGAACAGTTTTGAAAAGATGAAAACAAAACCCATGTATGGGTGCTTGGCCACAACAGCCTTTCCTCCTTCTTCCTCGTCACCCACCCATTCACTGTTTTTTATTTCCCGAGAGCCCACTGCCCTTAAGTTGATTCTGACTTCACATTGACCAACGATAAGAGTTGAGGGAGGAGAAAGGATGTTGAAGGGTTGGAAAGCGCAGCCCCAGTGGCATATGAAGACAGACCCCGCCCGAGTTAGGGGCTTGCCAACATGAAAGCCATGTCACCTTCACAATTTAGCTCTCATTTAAGAACCCGTTAGTCTGTGTCTAAGAATGGGAACGCAAATACAACTTGAGGTCTCCTTGGACCACTCATTGATCCTGGTTCTGGGCTTTTTGAAAAATCATTTTTTGAGAAAAAGTTGTTCTGTTTTTTTAACTAAAAAAAAATTTTTTTTTTTTAAATATAACTCAAAACGGAATGGAGTGTCTGCTTAGTCATTTCAGCCATGTTGGCAAGTTGCTAATCCCCCATTTCTACCTGAATTAGTCTGGGGACTTTACCTTGTCATCCAGCTCCACAGCTCCACAGAGGCCCACAAGGTTAGGCTGCAGGTGCCCGTTGACAATTTTCTCGTTATAGATATAAATCTGAAATAACAGACAGCAAAAGAAATGGTACAGTTCTTATGTTCATTTTTTCTATTTAAAACGTGAGGCAGTTCTCAATGCAGCTTCTGCCCAATGGTCAGCAGAAACCTCCTCCTCCTTCCCTTCCTCAGAGTGGCCATGCAAGCTGCACTGCCTGCAGCGTGTGGCTCCTGGTCTGTGTCTGAGCTATAAACAGCAGCATCAATGCACACCAATGCTACCTGCCACTCCAGCCATGCCCAACACCTGGCCCTCAGTCCCAGTGAGCGGGAACCAAAGTGGAAGACGGCATGAAGAAAGGACTCCCACTGCTACGTCCCAGCCATCCAGGGAAGCCTAGTAATCTTTCTGGCAAAAGGACAGAGGAGCCATGGGACCAGGGCTCATGGGTTGAGGAAGGAGCATCAGAGTCTAAGCCCTTCATATGTGTCAGAATAGCAGTTACTGCAAATCAGAAGATCCATTTCTCCTGGAAAGAATCCTTGCTCTACAGGTAAAATTTTCTCAAGTAAAGGGAACTAGGGAATGCTTAATATATGGGAAATGAATTAAAATAATGTATGCTTAAAGAAACTAAAATAATGATGGTAAAAATTACTAGAATGTATTTTTATGAATGATTCCACTTTGTATTTGAAGTTCTTGCTCCAACTGAATAAGGCAATAATGTCAGACAATTCTCAACCTTTGCCAAACCAGTTTCCTCAACTTTAATGGGGAAAAGTTCCATTTAACTTCAGGGATGATATAAACATGAAATGAAATGGCTTTTAAACTATAAGGTGGTGTCCATTTCACAAGCCTTTACGGGCAGCCTTCCGTTTGCCAGGTCCTGTGTTTACCACAGGATATAAAGGCACACTCTCAAAGGGAACAGATGGCATGACATGGCATTGACCTAAATTTAAAAATATTAATTCTGTGAACTTTTAGTCTATACAGATGTATTAGGTACATATCTTTTTCTTTAAGAAGCTTGTAATTTCATTAGACCTCAAATCCAGGTGGTACAGGGGTAATGAAGGGAGCCAGCCATATAATCAAGGTGAAATGTAAAGGGTATAGATGTGGTAGGGGAGTAAGGAAGAGAGATCTAAAAACTGGAGCAGGAGGAGCTAAAAGAAAGGCCCAGTGGCTGGCTGTGAGGTACTCAGGAAGAAGACTCATCTGCGGGGAAGCATAGGAGGCTGGCTTCAGCTACCTAGAGTTTGAAGAGGCATCGGTACACTAAGGAGAGAACCTTAAACTTTTTGAGAAAATTTTGGTCATTTTCAGCAAATCAGTTGACATCTAAAAATAGAGATTTCTATGAAAGGGGACAGAGCTGTCCTCTAGTTTTGCTTCCACCTGACCCACTCCTGAGCAGAGGAAAGAAAGGAGGTAGGTAATGCTGCGGGCCACCAGTGGCACCATGTATTCCCACTCCAAGAGTCATGTTGTTGTTGTTAAGTGCCGTCGAGTCGACTCTGACTCAGTGACCCTGTATAAGGTTTCCGAGGAGCAGCAGCTGGTGGGTTTGAATTGCTGACCTTGTGGTTTGCAATCCTGTGTTGGTCCTACAGCACCACACCAACATTCCAATTGTTCCTTGGCTCATGCAGCTAGTGCAGGACAATCTTAAGAGATGGAAGTCACCACGTCAATTCAAGAGAAACATGTTCCTTCCTTGACATTTTGAAACAGGATAGGGTGTGGCAAATTGCAATAAAACACAACAGCTGGCCAGCACTGCTTTATTCAAACAGTCAATTCCAGGTAAGTACTGGCCCGGGGCAGTGTTAGGCCAACACAGTGGTGACCCTGTGCTAACCACAAAGAATCTAAATCCAAACAGTGCCATGACTTTCTCCAAGGCAACAACAATATTAAGTAGCACTGAAGACATCGTGCTTACCAAGGCAGGAAAGCATTTGGAAAATTTCTCTTAACAAGGGGTAAGAGAAGAATTTCTAATCATGCAGTCAGCCTACCAGGTAATTCCATTAATGACACCAGGTTTTACTGTACTTGAGGCTATTGCCAAGTACAGAACGAGATGCCCTGATCAGTTTAGAGGGCAGATTTTAATTTCCCTAAATCAAAACGGAGGCAATCTAGTACCCTGCTCGACAGAGTTCTCCAGTGAACAAAAGGTAAAATATTAACCAGTCTTTTTAATCAAGAGTTCAATGCTTTCAGGGCTTGGTTTCACATGAAGTCTTTGTCCCTTTTTCTCCCCAGAGGGCTCATAACTGTTGTTCTTGGGTGAAATTGTCCTGGAGCGTACACTCACCTGCCGGGCATAGGCCATCTCAATGCTGTCCAGAGAACTTCGACCGGGGGGTCCCAGGTCACTGATGTAACTTGGCTGCAGATCAAGACACAAAAGAGTATTCATTCATGAGAAGAAAACAAATGACATCTACATATATTGTTTTTAAGACAGCTGTCAGGAGTCCGCTTCCCACTGAGAATTCCTCAAGATGATGGTTCCAGAGGTGTCAATAACATGCAACTTTCCTACCACCAACAAAGGAGAAGGGAGCACGCATGGGACTTGGTTTAACCCAAAATGACGGAGGCTAGCTTCCTACCGACAGCCCTGTATGACTGCATCTACACAGCTTTCCAACGTTCAATTGCAATCCCATCCGTGCCCCCACCTCCATGATGTCTTTACACCAGTAATGCTGTCATTTCTGTGGGAGGTCTTCCATTTCCGTCAGTCCTAGCAGGGAATGGAATTGACAGAGGCTCAGCACCGGGACTGAGGCAGAGCCAATGCAGAATACACACGAAGACAACAGTTGCTGATTCATTTCTGGCATCTGAAGATGTGAAGCCAGTCCAAGTCAGGCAGTCGTTCATTAAGTCAGCAAACATTTGCTAAGTGCCTACCTCGGGCACAGCTCCGCACACATCCATCCCCACAAAGATGAAAACCAGCAAACCCTCGGAGCTTACCATCTGATGGGGAGTTAGACACAAACATAGGAGAAATACTAAGTAGTCATCTTGTTTTTGCTTTCTTTGAAAGACTAAAGCTAACATTTTGTTATTTTTACAGTAAACAAATATGTGCCCAAATAATGCCTATTAGGTATATACAATTAGGCATATTAATTTCCAGTACATTAGTTTGTACTCTACCATAGTAGAAATCAAATTATTTAAGCTTATCTAATTAAAAATCAATGCTCTCTTCTCTAAAATCTAGAACAAAGCATCTGAAAAAAGGCTTCCTGGTAAACAGAAGATAGCAGCAAAACTTCCTGGCATTACCTAAGTTGGCAGAAGAAAACCTAGCAAGCATGCCCTGGGCAAAGGGTGGAGAAGAGGGAGCGAGGGCAAGAGGCAGAAACCCAAGCCCTCTGCCATCACCAGCAGCTCCTCAGAAGCCTTATAACAGACAGAGTCACTAAATCTACTCAAGGACACTTAGCAAAATAGTATGTGAATACTTCATGGCAGATTGAAAGCTATCCAAGATGATAACAATTACATTGCAAATTTCATGAAAATTTAGCAATAGGGTTTCATTAGCTGGCCCCTGCACATCACAGTATATATACCTTTTCCCAGCCTCCATTTCAGCTAGCCATGTGACCTGCTTTAGCCAATGAGATGAAAGCACCAATCTGCTGGGATGTTTTAGAGACGGTATCTGCTCTATCTGGTAAAGCAGAAAAAAGAGGCTTGCATGGCCTTTTTACCTTCTCTTCTTTTTCTGCCTTAAATGCAAATGTGATGTCTAGAGCTACAGCAGCCATCTTGTGAACCTCAATTAAGTGGCGATGCTAAGGATAGCTGAGCACAAAGACAGAAAAGCCCTGGGTCTCTAGTGGTATTTTATTTTTGATAAGTGCCATCATGTTGTTTCTGGCTCATAGCAACCCTGTACAGGGCTTCCAAAGAGCGGCTGATGGGTGTGTGCCACCAACCTTACAGCCAGCAGTCCACTGTTTATCCTATAGCACCACACCAGGACTCCAGTGGTACTATAGACCAACTGAATTAAGGCTGATAATCTCCACATTTCTTACGTGAAAAAGCAGATCCCCATTCTAGCCACTGAACCTCCAGTTTTCTGTGACTCCCAGCTGTCTACATTCTTCAATGAAACACTTGAAGAACCACCACGACCAGATTGCAATATTAGCAATAGTGTTGCTATGAATCAGAATTGAGCACACTACAACATATGAGGGTGAGTCAAAAAGAATTGCTACTAGGGTTCCTGTTCATACATGCACAGGTTTATTCTAAACAAAATGTGTTTAAGTATGTCTCTGACAAGTTCTCTCAGTGCCACACCAGGAGTCCAGACCATGATGGTAGATGCTTAATAAAAGTATGCAACACTGGGGAAAAAAAAGTATTTGCTTTGTGCTGGCTGGAAATTCTCATCTCATTCTTTTACAATGAAACACACCTCCCTTGTTTTAAGAGAAACTCTCACACCAGCACACTTTCTACGTCTAGACTAATTCAAAGTGTTCCAGTAATGCTGAAATGAGACCTGTGCTATAAGACAGCCACCTTTCTGGAAAGGACAGAACCCATGTGAACACTGAAGATCCCGCCGGCTCTTTAATGAACGCAGTGCTGAGCCTGGTAAGTCCGGGAACCTTGTTGGGGAGAAAAAGCAAAGGGATGAAGAGGAACTGCACTAAAGTGGTTTTGCACGGCACCATTGTTGGAGCTAAATTTATACACGAACAGCCTGGAGAAAGAGTTTCCAGTACTAAAAACCTAATTTTTAAAATTATCCATTTAAAAAGTAGTTGGTTTTCAACCTTCAAATTTCCATTTAAATTAATTTTGCCTAATGCTCTTGTTTTTGAAAGTACTTCTCCTTCATTTGCCCTTAGCCAAGCCTCTGCATCACCACACATAAAGTCGATTATCCATCAACTGGACATGTGTCTGGGTACATTCCTGAGCAGACTGGGCCAATACTCAGCTGGAATTCCCAAGTCAGGGGGCTGCTTGAGAGCTTGGAAAGTGGGTGCCAGAATGCTGTATGGGAATGTCATTCCCAGTTTCTCACACAGCCTTGCTTGATGGAGCCAGAGCAGGGAGTGATAGAGCAGGAAAACAGGACCCAGAAAGGCAAATAAAATAAGATGGGAGGGAAGAGGCAGAGAGGAAAACCTAGGGTTCATCCAGGAGGCTGTAGATATATGGAGAAATAGCAACCTCTGGGAACAGACAGAAGAGCTCTGGTGGTGCAGTGGTTAAGCACTCATCTGCTAGCCAAAAAGTCAGTGGTTTAAACTCGCCTGAAGCTCCAAGGGAGAAAGATGTAGCAGTCTGTGTCTGTAAAGGTTTATAGTCTTGGAAACCCTTTGGGGGAGTTTTCTTCTGTCCTACAATGTCATTATAATCAGAATCGACTGGATGGTAATGGTTTGGATTTTGGTTTGGGCACAAGTATTCCTGCTGAGAGATCTTCTCAGAGTAGATGATGTCCCCCAAATAGGTCGATGCAGTAGAAGAGCTATGAAAGGGGACCGCAATACTTTTTTTTCCCCAGTGTTGCATACTTTTATTAAGCATCTACCATCACGGTCTGGACTCCTGGTGTGGCGCTGTAGGATCAACAATGGACTGCACTCCCTAAGGCCAGCAGTTCAAACCCACCAGCTGCTCCTTGGAAACCCTATACAGGGTCGCTGTGAATTGGAACCAACTTGAAGGTAGTTAACAACAACAACATAACAGTATTGCACTGCAGGTAAACGTGCTGGACTGCAAGGTTGGTGGTTAAAGCTCACCAGTCGCTTCGTGGAAACCCTATACAGAGTCACTATGAGTCGAAACCGACTCAATGGCACTTAAGAGCAACAGCATTAGGTGGCACTGTAGGATAAGCACCGGGCTGCTAACATCAAGATTGGCAGTTCGAACCCACCAGCCACTCCTCAGAAACACTATACAGAGTTGGTTATGGGTCGGAACTGACTCAACAGTACTTAACAACAACAAATTGTGCAAAGCACTGCTAAAGATGAATGAAACTCTTACCAAAGATTCACAATGTTGTTGTTAAGTGCTGTCTAGTTGGTTCCAACTCACAGCAACCCTATATAGGGTTTCCAAGAAGCGGCTGGTGAGTTTGAACTGCCAACCTTTTGGTCCAACCCGACCTTGTGCTCCAGCACATTATTCTGCAGCTCCTGCTGTTTGCTGTAGTTGGTAACTGCAGTACCTTATGATCCAGCAATTCCTCTCTCTGGTGTACCAAACAGATATGGACACACACATTCACAAAAAGTCATGGACAATAATGTTCCTAACAATATTATTTTTAAAGACAGGAACTAGAAACTACCCAACTGTCCATCAATACTCCTAGGAATCTTTGGTATGCATTAGAAAAACCCTGTTTAGACGTCAGTGTATCTAACCTCAGTGTAGCCTAGTTGCTGTGGTGGTATTGTTGGTGGGGGTCATGGATTTGATCCCAGACTTATAGGGCAGAGCAGAACTACTCCATAGAATTTTCTTGATTGTATTTTTTTTTAATTAAAGAATTACTCACTTAATTTTATAAGGCAATCTTCATTGGCCATAATCTTCATGGGATCAAGTCCCCAGGTTTTTCTCCTGTAGAACCCCATAGGGTGGGTTCAAGCCATCAGCTTTTCAGTTAGCAGCCAAGTGCTTAACCATTGTGCCACCAGAGTTGTGTTGGTGTTAGACATAATCAGTGAGCAATCCTTTAATGTATAAGTGGGTTTCAAAAAAGTTCACAGAAAAACAAAAAGAAAAGATAATGGAATTTTTTGACAAATGTTTGAAGTCTTCTTGTATTATCTGGAAAATGAGTTGGTCAAGCAAACAAAAGGCTCACCAAAGAAGCTGAAGAGAAACACTGAATAGTCTCTCATTCTGATGCCTCCTGACCTAATACTGTATTTCACCAATTCTCAGTGTAAACCAGTGGGAGTAGTGGTGCATAGAAACCTATCAAACTTCAGGTCAGCTCAAGGCTGATCTCATGAGGTAGGAGAATACACTAGACTGCAAGGTCAGTTTGAACCACAAGGTTGGCAGTTCAAACTCACTAGCTGCTCCTCAGAAACTCTATACAAGGTCACTAGGAGTCAGAATCAATAAAAGTATGCATGTATATGTTCAGTTTTAGTTGTTGTTGTTGTTAAATGCCGTGGAGTCGGTTCCGACCCATAGCAACCCTGTACAGGGTTTCCAAGGCTGTAAATCTTTATGGGAGCAGAAGCCTCATCTTTCTTCCGTGGAGCAGCTGGTAGTTTCGAACCGCTGACCTTAAGGTTCGCAGCCCGATTCATAACCACTATGCTACCAGAGCTCCTTCCAAATGTTTTTCTAAAATGGGTATATCAG